GAAGGAAGGAAGGAAGGAAGGAAGGAAGGAAGGAAGGAAGGAAGGATTTCTGACGCTCCCTACCAGCTTCCCACAAGCAGTCAATGGGGAAGCCAGCAGCAAGTCATAAGTCACTCATACTCCCACTGCTTTTTTGCCCTTAGTTGTTCTGTTTCTCTGTTTAGGTAAGGAAATATCTCTGAAACAATGACCCAGCAGGTCACGGGTTGCTAAGTGTCTCTTAATACAGCCTTCATAGCATCTCATACTGCCCAACAAGGAACCCTATGGTCACCATTAGCTAGAAAATATAATCTGGCTATTAACAAAACTGATTAGAGTTTATTTTGTTGAAAAATTGGTATTAAATCTCATTCCTGCAAGGAGGGTACATGGAATATAAGAAATTCCTTGTCATTAGTACAGTAGGTAGAATTCTAGTAATTCCCAAATTTCTGCAGGGGGCATCTGTAGCAGGGAGAGTGGTCCTTGTAAATACATTAAGCATTCTTTTGACAGTACCGTGCTATGCAGTTTCCTTAGTCACTGGTTAATTCCATGTGTGTTGTGAGAGAAGAGGGATTACATGCTGGCTGCTTCTCTTTCCCAGGGCCCACTCCCTCTAAACTCAGAAATATTGCCTTAGGATGTTGGATGAACCCCAAAGAACCAAGATGCAGCCCTGCTGGAGTACTCTTCCAGATTATTATCATTATTATTGCATTGGACAATGATAATTTGGTTGCTTTGAGACTGGGGAAACAGGGAGCAGAGATCTGCTCTTCCTGTTGTCTTTCAAATCCAAGGCAATCCTGGCTGCTTTCAGTCTCTATAGACATACACACCCTCAGGCTCAAGTTTGAGTCAATGCACCAAGGAGAGAGTGTTGGTGACCTGGAAGCACAGAGATGAATTTCCAGAGATGAGAGCCTCTGAGCGACAGAGATCCATTGCTTGGGCTTGCCAATTCTCCCCCTCCCCCACTACATACCCCAATTTGCAGGGAATGCACAAAAGCACCATAGCATTTTTCCAAGAAAAGCCCTTGAGATTTGTGCATATGTGCACACATGAGCCAGAATAATGACACGGTTTGGTTTCTTCAGTTTCTGCATCTCCCTTATGCAATTCCCCTCCCTTTCTTATGCAATTCCCCTCCTGCTCAATCTCTTTAGCCAGCTTCTCCCATTTTCCTTCCTCTGCCACCTGCAGTCTTTTCCAGATGGTGGGCCTGCCACAATTTCCACAGGTATCAATAGATATCCCTCCTCTTCTCCCACCATCTTCATGGTTTTGTACGAAGAAGCTCTCCTGCTTGATGTAACCCCTTCTTTTCTCCTATGACCTTCGCCCATGACTTGTCAAGTACCAGGAATGCTCCCTCCCACTTCACCCTTCTCCTCACCTGTCAGCCAGGCTGTTTTCAAACACAGAGCTGGTGCTTTTTCTGAAGACCACTAGACCCATGCCCAGAAATAGCCCATTTGGTGGATCTCAGATGCAGGAACATCTCTGTGCCTACGTCTTGTGAGTTGGGCACCTTGACGGGACTGAATATGCCAAGCCAAGGATCCAGTACACTCACCCCACTCTGGGTTAGGAAAAGGGTTTGGCAGTTGCTTTCCCACCGCCAGGCAACACTTGGTGGGAGAAGAAGCAGGGAACCATCAGTCACCACCTTCCTTGTCCTTCATCAAAACAGAAAGGACAGCACCAATCACCAGTCTTCTACTGAGGCAAAATAGGGCTCAGCAACCAGGGCATCAGATTTTACGCTAGCACCTTTTTCTGGCAGCTCAAGGACTGCAGCTGTCTGGCTCTGCCATCTTCTCTTTGCAGTCTTTTACTGGCCCTCTGGGTTTCTGCAGGCCAAATATGATAGCCCTAATCAGGAGGCAAATTATGCCCCCCCCCCGCATAGTTACACCTCAGTGGGACCTGAGTCATTGCTGCACATAAACACAATGCTGAGGGACAACACCTTGCTTTAAATAAGCCAATGTCTTATTTATGAAATACAAGAATCTTTGGGGACAAAAAATCAAGGGAGACAGTCTGGGAAGCACCAAGGGAGATGTCTGGGCCGCCTGAATGCGCACACGCGACCCTCCCTTTTCCAAACACTGAATATCACGTCTGGAACATTTGCGCCCACCTGCTAGAGATCCCCCCGGCCTGGAGTCATTCGCCTAATTTCGCAGCGGGAGGGGGGAGATTTCCAAAATACAAAGGCGGGAGGAGGGCAAGCACGAACTCCGAGCCTCCCCTGCAGCTACCCGCCCGGGGCGCGCGGCCATCGCCCCGCCGGGGTCTCTTCGCGAAGCTCAGCCCTCGGCAAAGAGGAGCAAGGACGGCCGGCTCGGAGGAGACGGAAGGACCCGGACTTCCTCTCCCCTCTCCCCATTGATTGGCTCGCGAAGGTTATGAAAGACTGGAACGGGAGGCTGCTCGCCGCCTTCGCCGCAAAAAGTCGCCCGGTTCGAAAAGGCTTAAAAGGGGCTGGGGCTGGAGGGCGGGGAAGGCGGCGCTCGGGTGCCGGAGCAATGAAGTCAGCCGTGGTGCTGCTGGCCGGGTGGCTGGCGCTGACCGCTTATTATGTCTACCTGCCGCTACCCAGCACCGTCTCCGAATCTTGGTATCTCATGGTGCTGGATGCGTTTTTCCGGCTCGCGCAACAATCGGTAAGAAAAACCGCGGGGGTCCCTCCCTCCTGTTCGCGGCTTGCTGCTCGCTGGGTTCACACGACACACGAACGACCAGGTCCGGTAAAGAGCTGGCGGCTGCCTTGGCAGAACCCGCCAAGCAGGGTCATTGTTATTCACGCGTCGTCTTGCGGTCGCCAATTTCTGATTCCATGCATTCGGTAACGCGCGCCCGCCCCCCCCCCCCGCCCCCACAATGGGTTAAGTCGGTAACCGGGTTAAACGGGTTGTGCGAACCCAGACGTGTTATCCCCTCCACGTTCCTGGAGCCTCTGCGAGACATCCCGCAATCTATGAGACGCGGATTGGTGCGCTGCTGCTTGGGGGTCTTTAATCGCCCGGGGACTAGGGCTGCAGTGAGAGGACGGGGAGATGCTTCTGCCCGCATCGGAAAGGCATGCCTCATCTAGCTGCTTTTTGGACACCCGTTCCTAGTTTCTGGTCCTCTGGCGGGTGGGTCTTCCTGCTTTAGAAAGCCTTGACGTGAGAATCGTTACCCCCAGACCCTAAAAAGCTAAGTCTTCCACCTTAGGGGATAACCGACCCAAGTGTGCCTTTAATTCAGGGCCCAACCATCTCCCCTTCTGGCCAGCTGAGTTGTAGACAATATATGAGAGGCACCGCTTTCTAAAAAGATACTGATTCTTATGTAACTCTTTGTGAATGCGTATGATTTTAGGATGACCTCCTGTGCAGTGTCATGGTTATTAGAAGTAACCCCATTCCTGACCCTTCCTGTCTCAATAGATTGTCCAGGCAGCTCTCCGGGCAACAGCATAGGGGTGGTTTTCAGTTGCCCTTCTGGTTTATTCTAACTTCCTAGCCTACAGCTCTGAGATCTGCTAATGGCCTCCCATCCAAGTACAGGCAGGTATGACACTGTCAGCCCTTTGAGGTAGTCCAGACAAGAAGCACAAACTGTGAGTACTAACACTACCTTTCTTGTAAGTTTACAGTAACTGAATCTTGCAAGTCTGAAAGCATTTCTCCCCTCTTTTACATTTACTTTCCGAAAAACTATTGGGTCTCTACCCTCATAATCCCCAGCATACGTAATCCTGATGGGGATTATGGAAATTGCAGTCTGAACATCTGGTAATGCCAGGTGGGAGAAATCTGAGGTATAGGAGTGCCTGCCTGGAGAAATAAAGTGCTTTTGTTTTAAGACATCCTGCTTCAAGGACTATGGTATAATCAAGGTACTTTAGATATTTATGACCCACACTTTTCCAGGTCAAACAATGCAATATGCAAAGCAAATATTGCATTGACTACAATAAATATATAAATATCCTGAATATTGCTTGCAAAATCTTTACATAATTCCCAACTCTCATGAAGTCAGAGTGGCATTCAAGTTTTGAAATAACGATCTGTGTTAATAATGCAAATGCCTCTTTCTTCTTCTTAAACTCTGTTCAGTTGTAGTTTTTAAATTTTTTAAATTTTTTTAAAATTGAAAAAATTTAATTCTTTTTAAATTAATTTTTAAATTTTAAATTCTGCTCAGTTTTTAAATTCTGCTCAGGGAATTCAGACATTCCTAGGAACCTTAGCCCGTATTCCTCTGGGAGAAGAAAAATCAAAACAGGTGATTCAAGAAAGCTTTCTTCGCTGTAACCACTCTTCTGCTGATAATGTGCAGCAAATAAAAGGGTCACATATTTTCAGTAAGGCTTCACCCTTTGCTGATACCTGTCAAGGTTGTCAGTCCCATAATCTTGGCAAACAGAGGTTCTTTGGCTGATGTCTTGATGTGAAAAGTATTTCACAAAGATAGACGCTGTGAAAACGGTTCTAATTGGTGTTGCCTCTGGATAATTTCAGATTTTCTAGATTTCTTGTCCAGAGTAGGTATTGAGAGGTTTTTCTGCCAGTAACGTGTGAGAGGCCAATCTGTGGGCCTCCCATTCATTCAGCTGAACAAGGCTACCCCCAAAGACTTATCCTGAGTCTTAAAGCTGATGCTAGGATACAATTCCTTACACATTTTTTCTGCCCTTCTTGAAAACGGAAGTCAGGTGCAGGGGCTGGATCTGTGAAGGAGAAATTAGGAACAGTCTCTGTGCTGAATGCAGGGATGGAGCACGGGAAGAATCACACCTAGAAATGCCAGACTCTGTTTCATTGATGAGGTAGCTGGCCCAGATTACTACTGAGATGTTCTATCTGGAGGTTTCCCAACATGCAGATAAATAGAAGGAACAGTCTGCACATGGAGTGTGTGAATCATGTACCTGAGCTGTGAATGTCAAGTAAAAAAACAATAATACTGAAGAGAAGTTAGTTCAGTGCTCTAAACAAATAAGCCCGGAGGTTACAGTGAATTGAGCTGACTGTTAGCAAGCTCTGTAGATACATTATGTGAAGACCTAGTTCTCTGGAGAAGGCTCTGATGCTGGGAAAGGTGGAAGGAAAGAGAAGAAGAGGGTGACCAGCAGCATGGTGGATGGATCCAATCATAGTGGCTATGAGTGCACCATTGGAACACTTGAAGGACCGGGCTCGGGACAGATCGTCATGGGAAAAACATATGTGCAACTGCTAAGACTCCATACCAACTTGATGGCACATAATCAGTTGGCAAGCTCAGGAATGAGGCATTGTTTAAGTGAATTAGATCAAGCTTTACTGAGCCAGCATTCTGTCTGTACTTGCACTAAGCAGACCTTCAGGAAGCTCAGAAGCAGGGTGCCTTGATTATAACCTTTCTTGATTCCTGTCTTGATTCACCTCTTTGGGTCTAAAATATCTTTGCTGCTGTGGGTGGAACTCACCATTTATGGTCAAGGCCAAGCGTGGCAGAAGAGACCTTCCTTGAGAACTCTTCTGCTCATGTGGTTTTCTAGCCTAGCTACCTCCAAATCTTGACTACTGTAGCTATACAGAATCTGTATAGCTGTATCTGTATTGTAGCTATACAGAATCCCTCTGGGATTCTTGCTCTGCAATTCCACATTAAACCAATACTGGAAGAAAACAACTGCTTTTGGCAGTAAACCAGATTGCTTTTGTTAAAAGGTGATAGCCTTAATCTGTCTGTCTCTCCCCACCACTCGGGAGGGTAGAGGCTTGGAAGCATCAGGAACATTTGTGTTTCACTCTGGCCAAATATGCCTTGAGATTTACAGCACTAGACAAGGGACGAGGGGAAGAGCTGTAACTCCATCCCAAATCCAATGCATGGGATCTCCAGGTTAGGTAGAGAAAATCTCCCTGAAGACCTCTTTTCAGATGTATATAATTTGGAAAGATGTGACCAGGAGTCCTGGGTTCACAAAAAGTTTATCCAAAAGCACGAGAGTTGCCTGTTAGCTAGCATTGATCAGGGTTTCAAACTCTGCTCCACGGCACCGGGGGGTTCCATAGAAAAATAATGGGGTTCTGTGAGAGACTAAGATGTAAAAGAAGTTAACTTGAACACAACCAATTGTCTATCACTAGAACTCTGCCTCTTGATCTGGGGTTCTGGGATTTTTTTTAACTAACAGCTTCTGCAGCCTGAAAATGCTTGAACCGCCCTGATCTAGCTCCTACCTTGTTTGCTCGTCTCATATTGCCAATAGATAACTTTGTACCTATTCAATATTAAAGTATTTGTGCATACAATTTGTATCCATTCAATATTCAAGTATGACGCAAAAATGTCCTTGGACAGGTGATGATTTCCCCCTTACTGATAGGAAATCCAGGTGTTTTCTTCTTGAAGGTGTATGTGTGTGTGTGGGGGGGGAGAAACACTGGTTGGGGTATATATATCACACTAAATTATGGCTTATTTGGCCATGAATTAGTTATCTGTGGTTTATTGAATGCACCATAAGTGACTAGGTTTGTACAACATGCTAAATTATAAACCCTGGTTTAAAAAACTACAATGTCTGGGTTGACATGATGTATTAAAGTAAAATCAACCTATATTTATGGCTTAGCAAGAAATGCAACCTCAGTGACTGTGTTCAGATAACACACTGAACTTGGGTACTAGACTAACTATTTTCACATATTGTACTGAACTATAACTGAATGGATTAGGTTTGTTCAGTACGTTAACCACAAAGAAACAAACCACAATAAAATCTAAGTATAGTATATTGTGTGAACACCTCTACTAGGATTTTAACTGACCTGACTAAGCATGTTGTATGAACAGAGCCTTTAATGTAATTATCTACAGAAACTTTCCCTATCTGGTGTTTTCCAGATGTGCTGGATTTCAAGCCCTTGACTTACAACCATACTATTAACATAGGTCAGATACCCTTTTTAAAGCAAAGGTTTTGGGTCTTTCACTCCTACAACTTTTATTATGAAGGTCCATTTAATTATTATGATAATCAACACACAAGATCAGGAAGCCCACCACAACTGCAAGTTCTCTTTAGAATATAGACTGAAACTTGGGAAAAGGGCAAATCTTCCTTAAAGTATATTGTTTAAAACTATCCTCCCATCAATCCAAACAGGTCATATGGCAAGGGGTTGTGGGAATTGTAGTTCACAATGTATAGACAACTCTACACTGCCTCCCTTCCTCTTCCCTTTAATGGCACTACTCCATCCTTCAGTGTTAAAACACAGATTTATCTGCGAAACAAAACTTGTTCAGATATTGAAATGGTTTAGAAGAAACTATAGGAAAAAGCATGCATAGACTAGTGTGTCCAGTATAAATGATATTCAGCAGTTTTCTTGGTTTGAAAATTGACAAATACTCTTCAAATCAACTCTTCAGACTAGATCTTTGAGGACATATGCTAGGAGCTGCCATCATTCTTGGGCTTAAATCTAAACCTGTAACTTAAAATTATGTTTTAACAACAAAAATCTTAGTTCTGACTGCTATCCTGTGTCCACTTATCTAGATGTGAGTCTCACTGAAATTAGTGGAACTTACTTTTGAGTAGAGGGAGGTAGCAGTTCACTAATAGCAGGTATTATTTGCATTTTTCTTCCTGGACAGTCCTAGCTAGATGGTGGCATCTAGCCTCCCTTGGTTGATCTTGCTAAACTAAGCAAATGTAATAACTTGCTTGTTACTCGAATGGGAGACCATTAGTGCTAGAAGCTAGCCTGCAAAGTTTTTTAAAAAAAACCCTAGAAGGCGGCAGCAATGGGAAGCCAGTTCCATGCTTTTTCCAAGAAAACTCCATTGTGGATTTCCATGAAGTCAGCAAGGTCATGATGACTCCTGTAAGTATACTTTCCTGGACAGATCTGCTAATGACTCATATATCAAGAAATGCTTAACTCCCAGCCCTGGACAGTGCCAGCTGGTTTTACGTTTTTCAAAATGCAGCCATTGAACTTTCACCGAGTTCTGACTGTATTTTCAGCTTGTTACAGTTTGTTTCTGTTCTGTCTCCCTAGGGGTTTAGTTGAGGACATAAACTACTCAATCTCTACCCTCCCTCCATCCCTAAACAAGAAAAATGCATTATGTAATATCTGCCATTTCACCCATCAACAGGAGAGATGGTTGTTCCAAAGGCTCAGCCTTCTAATCTCATGTTGCTGGCAGGGAACTTAGGTTTTGTATTTATTTTGTTACTTATATATCTTGCCTTTTCATTCAAAGATTTCAAAATGATGTACATGGCTCTATGCCACTTATATTTTAATATCCCAACTCTCCTGTAAGGTAGGCAAAGGTGGTTTAAGTTCACCAAATGTATTATTATTTATGCAATTTCTCTATTGCCTCAGTCCAGTTGGATTCTAATGTCCTTTGTGGTTGGCATGTTTTCCTAAGTCTGTGCAGTTAACTTTCCTCCCGTGTCCCTTCCATCACATCATGAAAGATAGCTTTGATGCCAGAGAAAAATTTGAGCGTATGGGGTTTGAGCAAGAGATTGGGTTCTTCAGCAGGTCTTGGTGGCCAAATGGACCAGCCCCACAGGTTGTTTCTGGCCTGCGAACTAGAAATGCGTCATACCAAGTCAAATCACTTCATAACATTGACCCATCTAGCAATGATGAAATGCAATTTTGAAATGCATTGTACTTCCTTCTCGAGTCCTTAAAAATTAACTTTACAGGATAGAGTCCATAAGCTGAATCTCCTATGCAACCCCAGTCAGATCAATGGAAGCTTCAGAAATCCATACCTTTAGCCTTAATATGAGAACACGGACAAAATTCTGCTGTCTTCCTCAAATTAGCAACTGTCTCCTGTTTCAGTTAAATATTAGTTCACATGATTGAAACATTCGCCGATATTGAGCTGTTTCAGACTGCTGTAAATGCTGATTTAGCATTCTGTAAAAGGAAAAGTATGGCTGTGTTACACAACATACTTAAACCGTTTTCTGCATTTATATGCTACATTGAGCCATGAACTAACCAAACAGGCTGAGTTCATACAACAACATTGTATGGGCATTATTCATCCATTAAAACTCTAATCAAACCTAGCATGTTATACAAATGCCTCTGGCCTACGCAGGTTGAGCGTGTTGGTGATAGCAATGCTTAATTACTTTGGTGCCCTGAATTGCACATATGACTGTACATTTTGAGAATGCAGTCTTATTGTAGCCATTATTGTCAAACCACAAACGTTTAGATCTGTGTTTCTCAACCTTGGCAACTTGCAGATGTGTGGACTTCAACTCCCAGAATTCCCCATGCTGGCTGGGGAATTCTGGGAGTTGAAGGTCACACATCTGCAAGCTGCCAAGGTTGAGAAACACTGGTTTAGATAAAGAGGATTATAGTCCAATGCATTGGGAAAGCACTGGATTGGAGAAGGCTACAGTAAACCATCATTTAATATTATGTCCAAAGGCACCAATCATGTTTTTTAGCTTAAAGGTTCAGTTTTCAGCTACTCACTCTCAGATTTCTTTGTTTTGTCATCTAATACTGAATGATTTATATTTTGTAGTCCAAGGTATTCTCAACAATTGTTTTTAGCACCACAATTCACAGGCATCATTTTTTGTTTTGTTCAGCCATTCTAAGGTCTTGTTTTCACGGCCAAACATTACAACTGGAAAAACCAAAATCTTAACATTTTTGTCAGGGTGAAGTCTCTCCACTTTAATAGGCTGTTGTATTCTTTCTCCCAAGGAGCAGATTATCACTGGGGCAGAGCATCCAGATAATTGATCGAACTTTCTGTGCTAACCTTAAGTTACCTAATTCTAGGAATCCACTGAATGTATGTGACTCATAATAAAGTTGCGCGTGGTTCTTTAGATCTTGTTGTGAGTCTAAAAATAATCACATGATTAAGCTGGCTTGGAACTTTCATAGAACCAGGATTATACCAAAGGACAGAAGGTGGAGTGCTTTCTAAAATTGTTTGCAACTGATAAATCCTTTGCCTTTGCCCCAGATCAAGATCTGGGCTAGATATATTGTTCCTACTTCTGTTTCTTCCACTACCATCACCCTTAAATTCTGTTGCTGTACTAGCAGACATCATTGCCGTCTTCAGCACAGAGTAAGTAACAGAAGGAGGAGATGCATTGGCAAATTTTAACCGTTTGCAGTTTTGCTCTCTGATTCAGCTTCCCACAATTTGATGGCCTCCAGATATGTTGGACTACCATTAGCAGGGTGAAAATTTAGGACAGAAATTAATGCATATTCTACTGCAGTTACTGTGGTATTAAGGTTTACATGTGTATCATATGTGTGTCTATGGATTTAATTATACAATATGTCTTTCAAAGCCTTTGCCTTTTTACTTGTTTCTTTTTTTCCTTAGTGCAACCTGGCTCATTCCATGGGACTTGGCCACCATATAAGACTGCTCAATGTTTTCATTCATAATCTGGAGAGCTTGACCAGCCTGCCTGCAGAGCATGTGAAGATAACAGACACCACATTTGATGGTGTAGCAGTCCGAGTGTATCAGCCTTTTGCAGAAAGCCAGAAGACATTACGTCGCAGCTTGATCTACATCCATGGAGGAGGATGGGCATTGTTAAGCGCAAGTAAGTAGTCTGAAAGTGAGCGTGCACCTTCTTTTTCATGTTCTTCCCCATCTTGTGATCTCTGGCTATGATTATAGTTGATTCACTCCAGGTAGTCCTCGCTTAACAACAGTCATTGGAACCAGAATTTCCATCACTAAGGGATGCAGTTGTAAAGCGCGACATCACGTGACCGCATTGCTTAGCGATGGAAATTCTGGTTCCACTGCTGTTGTTGCAATGGAACCGGATGCAAAAAATGCAAATATCGCATTGCTGTTGTTAAGCGAAGATTGCAGGTGGTTAAGCAAGGACCTCCTCACAACTTCCTGTCAGCTTCCAACAAGCAAAGTTAATGAGGAAGCCAGAGGAAGTTACAAGTCCTAGGTGGCTTGCAAGCAGGCTGGCAGGTGGGTAAATGGCTGCTGCAGTGTGGCATGAGTGTGGCAGGGCTGGGGTGGCTGCTGCCAGGTGGGCACCACAGGTGGGCGGATACTGCAGGTGCATGCATACTGTGGCTAGGCTTCTCAGGAGAAAAAGCTGCAGGACTGCGAGCAACTTAAGGAGCATCTTGCAACCTTCCCTGCCAGCTTCCCCATTGACTTTGCTTGTTGGAAGGTCACAAATGGCAATCACACAATTGTGGGATGCTGCAATTCTCATAAGTGCAAGCCAGTTGCAAAGCACCCAGATCACAATCATGTGTCCATAGGGGTGCCGGGACAGCTGGAACTTTGATGACTGGTCATAAGTACCACTTGTTCAGCACCATCGTAACTTTGAATGGTCACTGAACGAATGGTCGTTAATGGAGGACTACCTATACAGTAGAAATCTGCAGCACTTAGGGTTTGAACACGCAGGAACGCTCACACAGCACTTTTCTGCAGAGTTTTAAGGAAGCTGCATCTTCTCCCCAGATGATATGGCTGCCTTGTACAGTTGCCTCATGATCCCTAGAAAAGATGCGCCTTGAAGTGAGCCCATCTAGGGGGAGATGGGCGGCATACAAGTTTAATAATAAATAAATAAATAATAAAATAATCTGAAGCATCTTTCTGTCCTTGAATCCACAATCCTAGTGGCAACCACTTTTCCCTAAATTAGGCTGCTGAAAATAACATGTGGGGGAAAACCAGGAATAGATTTTTAAATGAAAAGACTTACGCTATCCCTTGATTTTTCAACCTTTTTTATTTTCCAGAATTCTGTGGCCAGTCCCCATAACAGTCCTAATTGGGCTGGTGGTTTTAATCTTGGGGTTTTCCTTTTTATGTCTGTTTCTGAGCCAGGGCTCTGTCCATTGTTCAGGATTTCTTTTCTTTTTAATTTGGCAACCTTGGGGTTCCCCAAAACCTAATGGAAATGTCTTATACATCAATGATGTCATTTTCAGAATATATACTCCTATGAATAACATAAATAAAAATGTTCTATAGACATTCTGCAACTGTACCATTGGTGTTAGCTTCTCTCTCATCCTTGGCTGTCTCTAATTGCAGAAAGTGGTTACTATAATAATCTCTGCATGGTTATGGCTGACTCTCTGGATGCTGTAATTGTCTCAATTGAGTAAGTATGTTGCAAACAATAATTAAGTAACTGGTATAAGCTGGGCTTTATTGTCATTTTAATTGACAAGATTTGAGAGGAGGAAAGAAAAAGAATTAAGTTGCTACAGAGTACAACTTACAAATATTGAGCACTTAGGATAAAACTGGAACGATGCATACATTCAGCTGAGCTCAGTTCCATGGACCTGTCAATATAGCTTTCTTGGCAAGAGTAAAGAAATGGTTCCATTCATATTTATGGGTATACCAAAAATAAACAGCCTTGCTGTGATTTTAGCACTAAATATCCTATGCTAATTCTTTGGTCATTAAATTACTTGAGCTATAATGTAGTTTATTCAGCTTTCAGTTTAGCTTCCAATTCCTTTTCCCTCTTTCGTTGGTCAGTTGGGTAATTTGTTGTAAGATTTCATCTTTGCCTGCATCTCAAACAGCAAGGTCCCAATCTACTTTCTAGCCTGGACAAACAGCTTCACTAAGGCAAGGTTCACTGCTCAGTAGCCCTTACTATTTCTGCTAAAGGCACATTATTCAAGGGGTGATCTGGCCTGAGGGTCTTCTACACTAGTGAGATGTCTGCTCCAGAATCTTTATATGCCACAACTGGCTGATCGTTAATTTCATTTCTCTGGAATGATTTCCACATTGAACTCAGGTGGGTGGGGCACCAACCAGCCTGAAAGTGGGCTTTTCCTAGCAAAGATGCAGAGAGTTAACATTTGCAAACAACCTAGGATAATTCTTTTTCATATGCCCTATTTCCCCACATTTACAAGCATAAAATAGGCAGGCCTATCTGCTAGCCAGCACCCTGCTGGTGGAGTTTCAGACTACCTGTTGTTGTTTTTTTAATTTACTTTAAAAAGAAAAGGGGGAAAAAAAGATACAAAGAAATGTCAAAATGCAGATATTGCATGGAAAAGTTTGCAGAATGGTAGATGATAAAATTAGAAGAAAATACAAAATATTCCATTGGGATGAAAATGTCTTTTATCTTTACATGCCACCTTAGTTTAGAACAAATATAAAGAAAATGTCATGACAGTTTAACACTTTCAAAGCTATCATTAATATCAAATTAAAGATTAGCTAAGGCATCTATGTAACAGAAGTAAAAAGCCATGATGAAAGAGCTTAGAAACTATATTTTAAGAGAACCCCAGCATTGGATATAGTAGTAAGCCATGTACAGAATTTTAATCCATAAATCCAGGTTAAATTGAAACTACTGTAGCCTTGGCCTTATGTTATATGCAGTCATTTTTGACACTGATACATACCCCCATAGTTTAAACTGTTATTCCTTTATTGAAGGAATTAGATGTGATTTCTAGTAAAAATCATTAAGTATTCTGGTGGTAGTTATCATATATAAAGCCAGCTCAGTGTATTTTAAAGGTTTATAAGGTTTAGTAATACTTAGTAGAAAACACAGATAGTCCCTGGCAGCTGTTGTAGGTATTGCTCTACTTGAATCAGATTCGCCTTCATTCTTGATTTCTAGTCTTCCTACTACACTTCACTAGACTTATACTTCTAGAAGTTCCTGTTGCAATCATAAACCATGTTTTATAGCTGTTTTTTTTTCAAACAAACACGATCAAATTGATCAACAGTTGTCAGGTTCAAATTGTGCAAATTGTGATTAATAGAAAACAGAAGCAAAAGCTTTTAAACACCCACCCACCCACAACAACACCTAGCAGACTGCATGAATATAGTGGAAGGCTAAGAACCTTTCAATCCCAATAAACTATGGCTTCTCATGACATCCAGATGCCACGAATAACTGAAGAGAATGACTGGGTTCATACATCATGCCAAATCAGAACCAAACAAACCAAATTATGGCTTTGCATGTTGGGCAAGTCCAGCCCATGTGTATATGCTTGTTTAGACTATTATTGTTTCCCTAGTTAATATCCAAATACTTCTTCCACTTCCTGTTCCACTCCCACCACTCACAAGCTGCACTGACACAGCCTAATTAACCTGGTTACTAAATTAACCAATTTCCAGATTTACACCATACAGTGAACCATATACAAATCAAAGAGCCTGGGATTCTCCAACATGCTTAGCCATAATTCATGCGAGCTACGTCTCCTTTACAAATAAATTTGCTAGGTCTTTAACTGACCTTGTGGAGCACGTCATATAAACATAACCAGTCCACACCTTCTAATAAAAGTTATTAGAATAAGGGGCTCTGCTTTTTTTTTTCTTCTGTGATGGTATCCTTCCAAATAGTGACAAAATATCAACAGCCAAGTCTAAATGTTGTATGTGTTCATCTCCTTGAAAACAAACTCCACAAGGACAAACATTTGCCAGATTTGGTCCCCTAAGGATCTCTCACCCTCATTTAGCTCCCTCATTATCTTACCACACTTGTTTTTCAGATACATGTGGGCTTGCCAGGTAGCAAAGCCGAGTTCATTTCTTGCAAAGTGAGCTCTCTGTTCTTCAGCAAAACACTAGAGGAGAGCATTTTCTGCATCAATGAAGTTGCCCCTTGAATAAATCTTTAAGAAGATTCATGACCTGTTCCAGGTCCAAAGGACGGACTGCAGCGGCTTTGAGGGATCACTTGACGAGGATCAGACCCAAGACCTGCTGCACAATGTCACATTGCTTGTGTCTCAAAAGGTTGTTGAACCAGTGCCAAATTCTAGCTATAGATGAACAGCAAGGTCCCATGTTTGCTTGAGTGAGGAGGGACACATCCTGGTTACTGGAAATCTGATTTTTCTTTAACTTGAGCAACCACTATGTTTCTGGGCTAGCTTAAAAAATGGGAATTTCTTTCCCCATCAAAAGAACCAGTGAAGCATTAGCCATAGCGTAATTTTGAATGGAGGAGTAAGCTAATATGTTAATAATTTTGTACAGCTTCTCCTTGTGTCAAATCTTAATAGAAGAAGGGCAGCAAGCAGTGGTTTAGATGTGTTCTTTCCCAACTAAATGTACCAATTGCATTTCCCTTCTGATGTTGGATGTAGGTGATGTCATCCAGTTGAGCAACTGGTTGTAGATGGCAGATTGACAGAGGCAAAGAAAAGTTCCTTCTTTTTCCATGCAAATACTAGCAGCTTGTGACTCCTAAAACCATAGACACACCTTTCTGGATAAAATTGCCAAGGGCCATTAATGTTAAACTTTTACTAAAATAGGAGTTGCCGTATCTGCTTTGTTGGAGGGTAGAATTTTGTTTTTGTTGTTGTTAAATAAAATTAAAAGGTTGTATCTTCTGCTGAATAGGGCAAGAGCTGGCTAAGGAGAGACATTTCTTGCAACAATAGCCCATTCCTATAAATGAATCAGTCTAAAATTAGAAACGCAGATGCCTTTCCCTGATCCCGCTGCTGAAGGCAATCATTTCATCCTTGTCTAACTGAGTATAGCCAGTGTCCTCTAGTGGCTTAATATTTGAATGGCAAATACTAGAAATAAAATTTACCCTTTCTGTACTCTTTCCCTTATCAGCAGAACAAATTATGATTTGGGCTGGTTTCCCACATTGCGAACCCATAATGTGACTTGGTTAGTTTTGGCTTAGTGTAACATGTGAACCCCGTTGTGGCTTGCAAACCATAGTTTACATCTCAGGCTGGCCATTGTGATTTATTCAACAAACCATGATTAAGCAAACTGTAGTTTATTATGATATATGCACTTAGCTTTTGAGTCCAAGCTAAAGTAGATACGTACGTGTTTAGGTATTGTCGAGCATATATGGCACTTTTATAGTGGTGTAGTTTTACCGTACATTATTCATTATATTTCTACTTAGGCTTGGTTTACCTATCATATATCCTTACAGTTTTGTTTTTTCTTTATTATTCTGGATTTTAGTATCTATTGGGGCAGTCCTGACTATACTGTGACTGGCTTTGTATGTCTGCCCTTCCTCATTATATTATTTCCTTATCTTTTATACTCTTTTGTTTTATGCGGGTCTTTGGCCATAATAAAGTTTAAGTTCAAGTTTAAAGTAAATTGCACAGCTAGGGGGCGCTCTTCAGGACTTGGTTAGCAGTGAGACCTTTTTTTAACCCTTTCTTCTCCTGCCATTGTTGCTGATGAAAATCTTGTTCTCCCGTAAGACAGTGTCATTAATCTTGGGGAACAAGCTTCCATAGATGCTTGGGGCTAACGCAAACTACATAACGTATGGGCTAAGCAAATGGGAGCCTTTACTGAGCCAGTATTGATACAGTTCTTCCCAGCCAAGAATCTTCAAATGTCGACAGACTAGAATTTCAGCCATCCCCAGTCATATGGGTAATAACCAGGAATGATGACAGTTGCATTTCAAGTCTCATCGTTGGGAGAGATGGTGGCCAGTCCCGACTCTTCCATATTTAGTAATCTACTCAATGAAAAAGTTATTTTTACAACAGCAGATGTTGATTCTAAGACTGTTTTTTCAAATTTGACAACTTTAAGATATGTGGACTTCAACTCCCAGAATTCCCCAGCCCCATACTCTTCTAACTGTATCTGAACCTTTCTCTATTTAATTTCTTTCACTGACTGCTTACTCAGCGTTCCCACACTGCTCATAACTACATTCAGAAGTTTGTCATTTTGACAATCCATCATGGCTTGTAAACCCTGGCTTGTCTTAACACAAAACCCAGACCCCTTTTCTCTGCAGTTACAGGTTACTGCCAGACTTCCATTTCCCAACACAGTATGATGATGTCCTCCAGGCCACCAAACATTTTCTGCTCCCAGATGTCCTAGCTCAGTATTCTGTTGATCCCACCAGAATTGCAATTTCCGGTGACAGCGCAGGAGGCAACCTGGCTGCTGCTGTGTGCCAAGAGGTAAGAAATGTTCTGGGTGACCTACACACAGATCCATCCTAAGCTATGCAGAACGTGCCAGGACTGTGACTAAGTGAAGCCACATTCACTTTGCATGCAAAGGTTT